AAAAAAAAAAAAAAAAAAAAAGGATAAAAGAAGAAAAAGAAAACGGAATCCAAATACATTGCCAACTCATTTTTACAATAAAATTGAACCCCTTCGATTAAAACCTCCAGTAGTATGCACCTCTTTTCTTGTTTCTTGTTCTTTTGTTCTTCTTTTCCACCATAAACTCTGTTACTTGAGTTATCCTCAACTCGCAGTCCATCACATACAAACTAATGCTCACAATTGGCTGCAGGAAAATGAGATCACAATTCACAAGCCCAACACGTAACTCTGATTCTGTAGTATGTTAATTGGCTAATTCTCGACCGACAAGGAGAATCACAAAGGTTCTCTAAGTGCTGCTGCTGCTGCTGCTGCAGCAGATAATTTATTAGAGTGAATGGTTTTATTGATGGTACATGAAGCAGCCATCTGTTTCTACAAATTATTACACATTAATCAACCACAGGACATTTTTTTCAAAGAAGCTGCTCAAGAGGATCAAAATTTGCATCGACCAATACAGCTTTCTAGAATTTACGCTCACGCGCTAAATTTCCCTCTCACGTTTATTCCTTCTAAATCGATATGTACAAAACAGCGTACTTACAATAGCAGGACTGGGTCAATTTCCTGCAAGGACACATCACCCAAAGTTTGCTCGGGTCCTGCAAGTAAACTAAAGAGAAAACTCTCTAGCAGACCAGCAAGAATCATTCATGTTGTGAATTATGATTAGGGAAAGCACTAAGATACAGCAAAAATGTCGAAAAGAATGGAAAACATGCCAATACCATGCCTATTTTTTAAATTGCCTCCGCAGATGGACTAAGAGGGATAGGATCAGTTACATCAAGAGCCTTGTCATTCTCGGGTTCAATCTCATACGACGAAAGTAGCCTTCGCTGCAAGAGTCGTGCGTCATTTTTTTATATTATTATTATTATTATTATTGCATGACTATTCATCTATACAATCTTTATGCAAATTGAGGGCAAGAAAACTCTATACCTAAACGTAAACAACCAAATGTATCGAATATGGCGGCATAGCAAGTTGAAATATCCCACATTGAAACTTCAAGAATGATCAATCCAAATACGACCACGAGAGTGACTTATATACAGTTTAAAAATAGTTATTTACCATAATAGTTACATGATACCCCTCCATCCTAAGATACTAGTAGTTTAAGGCTTTAAGCTTTGTTTTTTTGTCCCAAAATACTTGTGGTTTTAGGTTTTCAATGCATGTTTAGTACTTCAATGCACTATTTTATCATCTGGAAAATTTAAATGAACCAATAAGAAGTTGTATTGAAAACACAAAGCTAGGAAATAGAAAAAGAGTACTTTTTTATCCTTTCCCTAGTTCATGTGCAAAAACTTAAAATTATTGCACGTATTTTAAGATGGAGTACAGTTCAGTATTAGCACAGATAATGATTCGCAAATAAGTAATTACCAAGTAAATTGTACATTCTTCGACAATTAACTACAGGAAGGAAAGCGAAAAGGAAAAGGAATGAAAGAAGCAGCAAGAATCAGTAGTTTTGTTTGTCACTCATTTGACATTTCAATGCAAAACAAATTTTGCACTTACATGAACCTCAAAATCAGGACTGGCCAGATTGATTGAAAGATTTCTCATCAGCAATAACACCTGTACAAGAAAGCATATAGAAAGAAAGACACAGTAAGACGCCAAGGCATAGCCTAAAGATATTCTAATGTAATTGTCCTATAGGTTAGATCTTTGAGAAAGTGAGATGGACAGGGAACCAAAATGTCATGCTAATTTGTGTTCAAATTTAAAAATGCCCACAAAAGAAATCCATCAAAGCCAATTTGCATTATTGGCTCCATCTGAACATTCTTTATGCAGACACACACGCTGAGTACCATTGCTTCTTTCCTTTTCCCATTTATTTTCTTAACAAAATAATAAAATACAGATAATTGCGAGACAAATTATCTGATAAAATAGCTCAGCAAGATGTAGATTGCAGAATACAGATAGTCTCCTCCTCATAAGCTGTACGAAAATTGTACTGTTTGTTAGGGAAAGGAAGGACATAAAGAAACAACCATAATAACACCACCTCAAAAAATGTAGTGACCAGGGTAAACAACCCTTTGCCTGAAGGAGCAAGAAAGGCAGAATGAAAAGATTTACACAAAGTGTTCATGGATATTGATCAAAGTAAAAGATAAGCATGTAATTCAACGAGTTTATATGGTAACTAGTCTTAAACATATAGGTTTGTTGCACAAGTTGGGCAATGCTGTCTGCCACACAGAAGAATGCAGACTCAGCAAAGGTGTGAAAACTAAACTTCAATATCACAAGGTAGACCACCCAGGACTTCATATTTACAGAGCATGCAACAGACTTGCGGATAAGAAACATGTCCTTAAAATGTTTAAAATCAACCAATTTCATTTTTTGGTTCTTATTAACAAAGTAAATTGATAGTTTAATGGAATGACAAAATTAGATGATCACTGGATTTAAGTTTCAAAAACATACCGTTTCAATATCTATTGGGTCCATCAGCTTTAGTTTCTGCAAATGTCTTGTCTCATTTGGATCAAAAACACTGCCTATGAAACTGTATACTTGAGCGAAATCAGGAAGAACTGCATTTAAGATAGAATTAGAGATTAATTGAAGGTATGATCAGAACAGAGAGGGTGACCTAACTTAGACTATAATACAGAGCAGACAAGTGTTAAAAACAGATCAACATAACTGCAGAAGGCAGAGAGAAGCTCACACAAAACCATTAAGATAACAAAAGGACCAAATACACTACAGCTACAAACCCAGATTCAGGAGAATTAAAGCTGACCTACAAAAACGTCTCGTAATGCACACTCCAGAGTATATCATGAGCAAAAGACTGTAGGAGCATGCAGTAATAAGAACATGTTTTTTCACACTAATCGACACAGTATTACCACCTATTTGGAGACTTGTACAGATCAGTTGCCTCTTTTTCAGACATAACAAAAGATGTAGGAATCTACAGGTTGCACGGCTTGAACGTTTTCTAATTTAATCAATTATAACATCTGGCAGTAAGCCAGAAACAACACAAATGTACTGAATTTTAAGACCTAATCACCTGTGGGCCTCAACCTCGTCATGCTTTCATTGCCACCTGAAGGGTAAATATTAGGCAGAGACTGTGCAGCACATCTGGCATCACCTGACAACACAATAAGAATGGTAACTTCACATTGACAATGAAAATCCTTGAGCATCGGAATAGAATAGTATGAATTTCATAATTGGCAGGAATAAGCGAACCTCCAGTCACATGTGAAAAGGTACTATACACAGGTTTATCTATCCAGGCAGGTACAGAATCAGTAGATGCAGCATCGGGATTCTTGAGTTGAGCTGAATGGTCAGGTCTCATTAGAAGTCCAGCATCAGGAAGAGCAGGGGATGCTTGGAATTGAGATAAATCTTGTGTTACAACAGGGACTTCAGAGTACACCAATATACAGGATGGGTTAGTTTTAAAAACTGGCTGCTTTCAGACAGAATAAATGAATATAATGTGTTCTAACCACTTTTAGAAGCTTTCTGTGGGTAAGGATGAGCAGCTTTCCTTTTGGGGCGAGGTGGAGGTAGATGCTCACTGGTTCCACTCTTTTGTGCTTTAAGAAAATACTTTTGTGCATGGCTACGTATCTAGAAAGAAA